ACTAAATTTCATCCAAATGGCTCAATATTAATCATTTTTATCAGCCCCAACAACCATCACGAGCAACTTAGAGAATCTGGCGTTGGCCCAATAGCATCCAGAGGAGGTCCAATAACATGTAATCTGTCTGGGTAACATTTAAAAAACTCTAATAATATTATGGACTATCATAAAATGAAAAGTCCAAAATATTAAATAGTTTTCAATATCTACAGTCACATTCAGGGCCAACTTTAGGGGCATTTGTCCTAGACAAGTGTATAGGGCTCCCAAAATTGAGGGGCCTCCATTTTTTTTAAATAAGCCTAATAATATTATATCAATATTTTATTTAAATTGTAAACAGTTTCCAATTTTTATCTTACGCTAATGGGTTTCTAAGTTCATGGTTCTAACTTTTTTTAATATTCTTAGATTTGCTACGGTTCTTAAATTTTAATGCTTATTATATTATTTATTCATTCTTTACCCAAAAAAAATTATTTATTCATTTAGCTTTTAGTTGTGTAAATAATTAAAATGATTAAAATAAGTTGTTATCTTTGTGATTTCTTTAAAAAAAACTTTGTGGATTTCATAAATCGTGACAAATAACTGATTTACTTGTCATGGTTTGATATCATTTATAAAAGTGATTTTTCTAGTTGTGATTTCATTTAATTTACTTGTAAAAGTAATTCTTTAATCTTTAAGTTGTGAAATTAGTTTCCTTTAGAAAATTTATTTAATTGCATTTGTACTTCGATTGGATATTTTCTTACTTATTGCTTCCTATTATTTAGTTTTTAATCATATATGAAGATTTAGTTTTTTATTTATCAAATATTTCCTTATTATGTAAGTTTTGTTGTTAAGGAAAATGCAAACACGATTCATATTATACAAAGAGAAAGCATAAACTACAAAAGATTTGGTCGTAAATCATTTGTTGGCTGCCCGACTCTATATATAGTGGGTAAGTAAACACAAGTCATTCTCCATCAAACATCGTTGAGAAAGATGTATAAATCTCGTGCTTGCGAATGACTATGTCACGCCCCGGACCTAACCGGACACGTCAACAATCCGCCGTACAGTACGAATAGTCAACCGCAGTCCAACACATCCATACTATACAAGGCGTTTGGAATATCATTCACACATAGTACATCCATAAACAACATAATGTAAAATAATCATTTAAAGCAGCGGAAATGTTCAATACAAATGTGCACGCCACACTTTGGCATCATGGGCATACAAGCCCTAAATACATATTAAGGAAAATTAATATCCATGAGCATGGTTTAAGTCGTTTTCAAAACAGAAACAGAAGAAGCACGAACCACGTCTTCTTCTCTTAAATTCTCCGATGCAACGGGCGGTAGCGGCAAGCTTTAATCCCGACCTGAAACTGTGAGGTGGCCTCCCCCGTGAAGGGGAGGTCAGTACTTGGAAGCATTTGACAAGTACAATGACAACTATACTAAGTATAATCAAAGTTTCAATTTCCAAGACCCTCAACTTAGGATGTTACTATTTGAAATTAATTTATGTTCCTTCATGCTAGAGCTCGGCTCATAGTCATATTAATTTGTGCTAGAGCTCGGCTCATAGTCACACCACATTTCGCTAGAGCTCGGCTCATAGTCATTCCTACATTTTTGTGCTAGAGCTCGGCTCATAGTCACACTACATTTTGCTAGAGCTCGGCTCATAGTCATTCCTACATTTTTGCTAGAGCTCGGCTCATAGTCATACTACCACGTGCTAGAGCTCGGCTCGTAGTCACGTCATCTAATCCCTAAACCACTTCTTAGTCTAGGCTCCATTCCTTTTGAGTAACCCTTGAGGTCTACTCCTAACATAACTTGACTTTGTAAAGTCCACCCTAATTATCCTTTAAGGTTACTTAGCTTCAATATCTTGGGATTAGCTCCCAAGCACTATTGAACTAACATTCCCGACTAGTCTTCAATACTAGTCGTCTAATCTTAATAAGCCAACGCCAATTTCATAATAATTCATACATTTCAATTTAATTTCACATTCAAGTATAACTTGATTCAATATCAAAATATCACTTTTTATTTCCTTTCATGAGGTAAAAGCATATTTATCACCATACAATTTTATGACTTACACCACAATTGGGTCATTATAATCACAACACATAATCATACACAATTTATTCTTAAATTTGTATATTATGCATTTTCTTTTATGAACAATACTATATTCCATTTTAGGCATTCTTAATCATAAATAACTCATGCCAAACACATATAATTCATTTAGGCAATCTTATGAAATTAACCCAATAATTATAAACAATATAGTCGGTCATCCTCACCTTAAGTGAGCTTAAGCGCGTTCTACACTTCCCGGTTGAACTTTGGCGAACTTTGACCAACTCCGGCCAACTTTGACCAACTCCGGCGAAACTCCGGCGAAGCTCAAAGATACTCTAAATCAAGCTCCTAACAAGGTTTTAACATCATAAAACCTTAATCAATACACATAACCTCTAAGAGGTTATTTTCCGGTGAACTTGTCGGTTTGGCTTCTAAATCCATTTTTGGACATAGAACCACCTTCCAACCCCTTGTTCCACATTTATCAACATGTAGAACAAATCCTAGGGTTCTTCATAATTTCTCAAATAATAATATATTCAAGAAAAATAGGAGAAAAGGTAAATGGGGTCATTACCTAGCTTTTCCTCAAGTTGTGTACACTTTGGAACTTAAACTTATCCCTAGAGCTTCCCTCTTGTTGGAGTTTTCTTCAACAATGGAGAATAGGGATGGAAAATTCTTCTTTGCTTCTTGCTTGAGTTCTGGCCGCAGGGATGAGGGAGGAGGGAGTGGTTATTTTCTTTTGTCTCAATAGAATGGGGGTGTGGGGAGAGGTCCACCCCATTTCTTTTGTTTGATTCCTTTCCCTTCACATCACACACATCTCCCATGTTCCCACATCATCTCAACCATCACATTTGGGTGACCAAATTCGTGGGTTGGCCCCCACACATGTGGGAGGTCAACCCTATTTGTCCAGAAGTGTACAATCGGTCCCGAAAGTTGTATTTTCCGGACTGTTTTAAATATATTTTATTTTATCGGGTCAAATAAAACATATTATGTGTTCTCAATCGTTACGACCCTCATAGTGAATATACATTCCCCAACTTTAATTTATAGGTCTCCAAAAATCCAATTTCGGGCTATTATCCGTTAAATTACCGATACCGGTAATTGAACCGTTTTTGACCAATCGGTCTGCATTATGTCATTACTTTGGACCAAATAAATTATCCCCTTCTAAATAATTTTTATTTCGACCAAGTTGAATAAAATATTCGGTCTCGGGAGAATCGGGCGGCCCCGCCCCCAGTGTGGGTCCCACGTTCGAATTTACTATTCACGCAAAAGAACTAATAAAAATTCACAACTTCGTATACTCGTTAACCATTATACAAGGTTCAATATATTATTCACTTAAAAGTAAATACATTTGGGGACGGTGTTACAGACTATGAAGTATTCTCCTTACATTTTAATATATATAGTTGATATAAATCTCGTGTTTACGAAATTGTGCATTTCATATGTTATGTACTTCTATATAGTTGATAAACAAAATTTATTGAAATGAAATGTAAAAATAAATTCTATTTGACTATCTAGGGCCCCAAGTTTGTTCTAGACAACCCTGATTACATTTTGAGTGATGTTAGTTACATTTGTCAGTAACAAAGTTTACGTACATTATGTTTATTCTTTATTCACACAATGGGACTCATAATTCAGATCCACATTTGGCACTATTTGAGGTTACATTTTGAGTAACATATATTACATTTCTTAGTAACACAATTTACATCACATTTATTCTTTATTCACACAATGAGATTCACAATTCTAGAGCTTACATTTGACATTATCAAAGGTTATACTTTGAGTAACACAAGTTACATTGGTTACTAACACAATTCACATCATGATTATTCTTTATCACACAATGAGACTTATAACTCCAGACTTTACCTTTGACATTGCTTAGGTTATATTCTGAGTCATGCGAGTTATATTTGTTAGTAACACACTTTAATCATGCTAGCTTATTCTTTATTCACATAATGAAACTCAGATAAATATAATTTAACACTGTCTGGGTTACATTTTGAGTGACACGAGTTACTTTTGTTAGTAGCACATATTTACATTATGTTTATTCTTTGTTCACGCAATGGGGCTAAGAATTCCAAAGTTTACATTTGAAACTATGTAAGGTTACATTTTGAGTTACGGGCATAGGTGAGTTAGATTTGCTAGTAACATTGTTTACATCATGTTTATTCTTTATTCACACATAGGCTCCATTGACTTGAACAAATGAAGATATAGAGCCCGTTTGGTAGTACGGCTGATTTTGGTGAAATTTATGATGTTATGGCCGACGTGGTTGGATTGACCGATTCTGCTGATTTATGGGAAAAAAATATTTGAAATATTTTTAATTAATAAAATAAAGAAAAAATTATATATGAAAAAAATAGTTAAGTTGATGTTCTACGGTAACTTCAGCCAATACAGTTAGAAAAGTAACTATAACTTTAAATTTTTTTATTATTATTATTATATGATTCAATACGCGAAATAAAATGTTATGTGTTTGGTGAAGAAATTGACTGATAAGTCTGATGAGTCGGAAAACATGGCCACCAGACAAGCTCTAAATCCGAATGATTTTTTTAGTTGTGGACACAAATTTGCGTAAATAAATTAGAATTTGTGACAATACAATCTTATCATTCTTTATTCTCAACGGTGTAAACAATGGTGTGTAGCGTATAAATACGTTACGTATAAATATTAAAATATACTCCGTGTATGGTATAGAGAAAGCAATCTCTGTACTCCGTAATACGGAGTAATAATAAAATAAAATGTTGTTTCACAGTTTACACGTCCCATCTTCTATGCACTTTCTCTTTCTCCCTCTAACAAATAACAAATCATTAAATCTCCCTTCCACCTCTATTCTCTTGCTTCTGTGTCTCTTCCTATGGCTGCTCTCCCTACTTTCTCTCTTCATACATAAATCTCTCTATATCTATATATCTATATATACATGTCCTCCTCTTCTTCACTTCACTTCACCCACTCAGATCATCACCTTTCAGCTTCACACAGAATACAAGTTTTTCTCCGATTTTGAAACCCCATTTCTGCTTAAAGCTCTTCTCTTATTCTTTCCCTGAAAGCTAACTTCTGTAGTAAAATGCATCTGTGCGGGGGAGGTTTTATGTATTTTGCATCACTGTATTAGTTCATAGTCCATGGTTCTATTTATAGCTTCGCATTTGAATTTTTGAGTGCTAGTTAGTGTAGTGAGGACTAAAAGCTAGCGATGTTGGATCTCAATTTGAGGGCAGTCTACGATGAGAGCAGCTTCGAGAAGCGTCTGGAAGGTTCCGGGCCTGATGAATCGGCGACCTCCGACTCGTCGATGCTGAATGGCGAGGCTTCCAGCAATGCCGGCGACGAAGACACGTGCTCCACGCGCGCCGGATACGGCGCTGCCTTCGATTTCAACATCCTCCAGGCGGGGAGCAGAAACAGCTACGGCCGCGCTGGGTATGAGAACCGTCAGGCGGCGCAGCCGGAGTACGTCACTCGGCAGCTGTTCCCGGCGGGTGAGAGCGCGGGTCAAACATCCGGGAGGTTTGACTGGGAGGTAGATCCCTCGTTCCATCAGGCGGGGATGCTAATGGAAGAGCGGAGACAACAGGCTCCGCCGCCGCCGCCGGCGGCTCAGCGGCAACAGAAAGTGAAGAAGAGCAGGAGAGGGCCGAGGTCTCGGAGCTCACAGTACAGAGGAGTGACTTTTTACAGAAGAACTGGTAGATGGGAATCGCATATCTGGTAATTGCTCACTCACTATTATTAAGAACCGATTTTGGTTCTTGCCGATAAGATGATTTCCTTTTTCTGTTTTGTTGTTATTATTACTTAATTCAAAAGTTGTTGGTTGCAGGGACTGTGGGAAACAAGTATATTTGGGTGAGAATAATGTTTTTTTTATCACTTTCCTTATTTGGTTAGCTACAATGCTTTTTTGGCTCTTAGTAGTCAGTTTTCGCCATTTTTTCCTATTTTGGGTAAGTTCTACTCGTGACCTTTGACTTGGGTTTCACCAGGCGGATTTGACACTTCCGATGCAGCTGCTAGGTAAGGACATATTAATCGTCTCCCACCTTCAGTCAAGATTCTTTTTTTCTGGAGTTAATTTGTCCTTACATATATACTCTTCTAAAAAATGTTGCAGAGCATATGATAGAGCTGCTATCAAGTTCCGTGGGGTTGAAGCTGACATAAACTTCAATTTAAATGACTATGAGGAGGATATGAAACAGGTTACAAATTGCAGCATTTCATTATGTATAAAATGATAATACACTGTTGGAGGCCAGTGACTATGAACTTATTGACCTAGATTTGGGGTGGGCTTTGTTATATGTGTCTTGGTTGCAGATGGAGAACCTCAGTAAGGAAGAATTGGTACACATGCTGCGACGGCAGAGTACTGGGTTCTCCCGGGGAAGCTCCAAATACAGAGGTGTCACACTGCATAAATGTGGGCGATGGGAAGCTCGGATGGGGCAGTTCCTAGGAAAGAAGTAAGTCCTGAGACACTTTTATAAGACCAAAATGGTTGAATCTCTTGAAATTTTGGTTAAAATAGTTGAATTTTGCTGTTCAAATAAGTGAGCTTTGTTGATATTGTAACTAAAACAGTTTAATAAATGTTGTAATTTTGACTGAAATAGTTGAATCCGTTTAAATTGTGTCGGTAAAAATAGGTTTTTTTAGTTATATTGGAATTGAGTTTCAAATAAATTAAACGATAATAAAATGTACAAATGAGTCACAAGATTCATTTCTTAATTCTTGAAAGAAAAACTCACGTGCCATTCTTTTAATCATATGATGACATTCAGCTATCATAATTGATTAAATTTGCGTATGGTGAAAAAAATGGCTGAATATGTTGTAAGCAGGAAAAATGTTGCCAAACAGAGTTTTGTAATATTGAGTTGACTGTTCAGAGTGCAATTTTATATTACTTGTTTGAGTTAATTAAGAAATGTTATTAGAGGCCTGTTTAGAGAAATAAGTCATTCTTTTTCCAAAAAAATAAAGAAATAAGTCATCTTGATCCTTTTATAGTGGGGATTGTGATGCTTATACATTGCAGGTATATTTATCTTGGGCTATTCGACAGTGAAGTTGAAGCTGCAAGGTACAAATTATGGAATCATTACCCCTAATTCTCAACCTTATATAACTACATTAATATGTCCAATCTTTTTGAAAAATTAATATTCCATATCAGGGCTTATGATAAGGCAGCTATTGAATGTAATGGAAGGGAGGCTGTTACTAACTTTGAGCCCAGTATGTATGATGGAGGAACCACCATAGACTCTCATAATGAAGGTATTTGCTTAATCTTATGGTTGATGTGTTAACTAGAAGGCTAATGCTGATGTAACCACCTGTGGTTTGGTTTATCATATTTTTCACTTTAACCCTTATGTTTTAAAATAGAAGAACCCATATTTGGACCGATTAAAAGAGTTGAGTTTGCTCATGTGATGAGTATGTTGTTAATAAATATACGGATCTTATTTTTATCTAAGATATATAAAAAAATGTCTTTCGAATGGTGCAGTATTTATTACGTAGTATATCGTATTCATAATTATTACGAGTACAATCCTCTGTCCTGAATTGTTTTGCCATTTTCAACAACGCGAAAATTGTAGGGTGCAGATTTTTGCGATGGAAAACAAATTAATATAAACTACATATTTGTTTCCTTGAGGGAAAATGGTAGTCTTTTGGGAACACTTATCAATGTTGGTAAATTCCAGATTTAACATTAACTTATCTTGCTCCCCTACAGGTAGCCAACATGATCTTGATCTGAACTTGGGGGTTAAAAGCTATCCTCCTGATCAAATTGTGAGTATGGGGGAGTTTCTGGTACCATATTATGCTTCTTGATTTGGTAAAGCAAAGTTATTCATCAACTTTATATCTTCCTGATATTAGTGTCTGTTTTACACTTTTACCCAAAATTACTCGGTTCAGTATAAGTTTCTGCTCAATTTAAAATGAAGGGTCTATTTGGAACTATGTAAATGGGGAGGAAAATTTAAGTGAAGTTTGGAAAGGAAAGTGTTGCGGGGAAATAAAACATTGGTTCAAACTAGTTTTTTTTGTTCAAATTCATTTTATTAATATATTTACTCACATTATGTAGAGTAAAAGTTAAAACCTTGAGTAAAAACTATAGAAATACTAAGCAAACAAAACACAAGAAAATAAATTCAGCATTTTATATTATGTTCACTGGCATTTTCCGGATCCAAACAAAGTGATACGTGACTAGGAATCAAACAAGTTCATATAAATGTCAATACCCATTTTGTTCTATGAATTCCTTCATAACAATTATAATACAAAGAAACATATTCTGCATCTCCCCCTTTACTTAGTTTCTTGTGGGTAGAGAGAGGCATTTACATTTTTTAATGTCTTCCGACTACAGATGAATAGTTTTGGTCAAACAACATTCGGTAGTTCACATCCAAACCTACCTCAAATGACATCAGAGCAACCTCAATTGTTGAACGGATTCTACTCTCAGTTCTACCCTAATTACGAGGTAAGCCTTCTGCTAGTAATCACTTCTAAAGTAGAATTGTTAAGTGTATGATTGGTAAGAAACATTTCTGTTTTTAGTTATAAATCAATGCCTAAAATTCAGGGTATCTGGCTTAAATGGTTGAATGCTGCATTTTATTAAAGTAAATGCATTTGGTAGAATCGGTTTCGGCCAAAATAATAACTCAAATGCTTCGTATGTATCCCGATTAATCTGCCTATAAGCTGGGTAATGCTTCCAAATGGTCCTTAACCTTGCAATTTAGTTGAAGAACATATGATGTGTTTCTTTTTCTTTTTTATCTTGTGCCTTGTGTGAGAAGCCCAATCTTGAAACCGTGTGTGGCTCTTTTTAAAGCTTGGTAGAACTGTATATATGGTCTAAGTGCCAATTAAGTATCAATGAACAACTTGATCCTGGTACACCGTAACAAAGAGCACATGAATTTTCGAAATTGTTCTCGTCATATGTGCTCTAAGCTTTAGTATCCTCTAATCTGGTTTCTAAAGATTAAATCTATATTATTGTGCTGTGGGTTGAATATTACTGTGCTGAGAACCACAACTGATATTTAGATCATATGCTTCAATGGTTTGTTGACAGCAAACAGCAAATGCTCAAAGAATGTCTATAGGCTCTTCATCGCAAGGATCCCAAATATGGATGCGTGAAATGCGCTATCAGGCCGAAGCGACTCCATGGGCAATGTTGCCCACTACTACTGCCACAATTGCAGCATCATCAGGATTCTCATCTCCGGCTAACCTTGATTCAACATCATCCACATCCATGAATCTCAACTTTGGGCCTTCTTACTCCACTCCATCAAACAATGCTTCTCACTACTATTACCATTTCAGGCCGCCACTCTAATCCAACCTACATAAATTAGTTTCTTTCATTATCTTCATTCATTGGTATAATTTAAAGTGTTGGTTGAACACAAACTAAATCTGGGTAGGATTCTTTGTCCACTCCAAGATGTCAAATGATGTTTCAGTTTTGATACTAGATCCCCAGTCCATAAAGTTCACATATGTTGAAAATACATTTATCTTTTGTGTGGTAACATTATTTATTACCTTCATCCATGAAGGTGATGAGCCAGTTTAGTATATTTCTTAGATTTTATAATAGCGTCAGCACATGACATAAGATTTTGTTTCCATGCATGTTCATGATTATATTCAATTTTACACTTCAGGATCATGGTGTTACTGCCTGTAATAATTTTAATCACTTTTTTATTTTTGAATTTTGTTTGTGTAATATTTTAATAAAAAACCCTTCAAAATTAGTGTCGGAAGAACAATTGAAATCGCTAACTTTCTTATAGTCAACGAGATGGATTTCATTCCAATGCACCATGAGTTTCTGAGAGCAACGTATCATGAATGTTCCCAAACGTCCCTTAAGGGCATCCCAAAGTTCTTTGAAACATTCAAAGCACTTGCATTTGTCTTTTCAGATGGTGCTTCACCTTTCAAATTTTTGGGGTCAATGAGTTTGGTAGAGTAGTACTTAGCCACAAAGGTGGTTTCTACATCGGAAGCCCACCTATGGTACTCAAGTCCTTCTGAGTCCAATATGTCAAATTCAAGTTCAGTTGGGTGAGTCATCTTAGAGTCCAATAAACGGTGGTAGATGATTTTGTGGAGAAGTGATGAATTTCCGATTTACCTTCATTGATTCACCGCTAGTTTTGTCAAAAATGGAGGGAGCTGTTTCATTATCCAGTGCAATGAGGGAGAGAAACCAATGAGAAAAGAAGGTGAGGGCCACTGAAGAGATTAGCTAAGGAGACAGAAAAATTATTTAGCCCTAGAGCAAACATGCTGATAACGTGTTGTAGGGAGTGAGAGATGTGTGTTATTTCATTAATAAGCCTCCTTTAAATAGGAGGAATTAGGATTTACAAGAGGTGGGCCAATGAGCCATTTAATTAAATACATACAAAATCTAGATATTCTTTCTATCTCTAACGAATGCACATTACAGATACTCCCTCCGTCCCTTAAAACTTTGTCATCTTTCCTTTTTGGGACGTCCCAAAAAACTTTGCAACTTTCCCTTTTAATCAATATTTTGTGGTTCCTGTTATTTTTCTCTCTTCTACACAAACCTCAACCACACAGTTTTTACTTTATTATTCTCCGTGCCGGTCAAACATGACAAAGTTTTAAGGGACGGAGGTAGCAATACTCTTCAAGGAGTGATAGTTGCATGTACTATGTAGGTGAGAGAAAAATAATATATACTGCGTACCATAAGTTTTAAAATTGTGACTTTTTAACACCCAAACTCACAAAATTGGCAAACATTTTAGTCTCTGTGAGAGTATTACGGAAGGCATGAAAAAGTGTTATGAGAAATATTATGGAGTAATACTGAAAATGCGATACAAGAATTGAGCCTATAAGTTAATTTTATCATGATTTTTTTTTAAATAGAAGTAAAATCATTTTAGAATTTCAAAATGAAGTTCGGTGTTTTCGTTGGATTTCGGCTGCGCTAGGGAAGGACAGAGTCAGGAGGGCGTTAGTGTGGTGCGAATTGGGCTTCGGGGGATCGGAATTGCAGTGGGCTTGAGACCGGGGAGGCTTTGGGGACGGGTTTTGATTGGAGGCTGAGGTTGCTGGATGGAGACCATTGCCGAACGATATCGGAAGATGAGCATGGCAGACAAGGAGGCGGAGCTGGTTTGTGATGATGTTGAAGCCGAGGAAGATTCCAGTGAGGTGGAGCGGCCAATCTTCCATGTGGTGGGCGCGCTAATTACGGACAGGAAGATTAATTTTCCAGCATTCAGAGAGACGATGGCGTCGATTTGGAGACCGGGAAGAGGCGTAGAGATCAAGAAGATCGAGGAGAAAAGGTATATTTTTAACTTTAATCATCCAGTTGATGTAAATCGTGTGATTGATGGGGGTCTTATCTGCGTGTTAGAGCATTGTATTAATGTAGAAGTAGAAACTTCTATGAAAAGGGGCACAACTCTGAAAAAAAGGGAGTTGGATATTGGGTGGGTTTTCAGTATGAGAAGTTACCTAATTTTTGTTTTGTCTGTGGAGTCATCGGGCACTCTGAGAAATTCTGTCCGCTTATGTATGAGGAAGGCTTAGTTCTGGAAAAAAGGTTTGATGCGTCACTAAGGGTAGGAGGTGGGGTGAAGACCAGCCCTACAGGAAAAAATAAATGGTTGGTTTGGTAGTGTAACGCCCCTCTCAGGGTTAAAGGAAACGCTACACTAGCATACTACTTTTAAAAATAAACTGCAATATAACGGCCGTTTGTTTAAGAAATAACCCTGATAAAATCTCAAATGTAGCTAAAATTTAACTCCAAATAAAAACTCAATAAAGTCTAGTTATCACTAGCAAATGTGATAACCACCTGGATCCAGGAATTTATTCAAACTTCAAACCATAAATAAAAATAATAATAATAATAATAATAAACTCCTTAGAACAATATCTAAAATAATGAGACATAATAATAGCTAGCTGGAAGCCGCCAAGGTCGTCCCCGTCAACTCATCTTGGCACGCGTTCCACTCTTTCATCACCTTCCTAGGCCTTGGCCTTACCTTTAGTATCTGTACATGCGAAGAAAGAAACTGATAAGCTTTACGCTTAGTAAGTCACTATGGATCCACAAAAATATCTAGAAGTCTATGCCAATTTATCAATAGATAAAATTTAGGCTATAAGCATGCACTGAACAAACAACTAACACATAACTTCTCTATTACATTCTGAGAGAGATCTCAAAGGAAAAATATTTCCTAAAATATTTTTCTTAAAACTGCTAGAGATCTCAATTTTTTTTTTTTTTTTTTTTTTTTGAAAACATCTCTGTAAAACTCTCTGAAAGAGATCTCAAAAACTTTCTGTAAATCTTTCTGAAAGAGATCTCATAAACTTTCTATAAACTCTTTGTGGCTAATTTTAACTGTGGGCCCGTGATATGTACTCAATGGCGCCAATCCGACAGCTCAGGGGAGCGACCCACTAAACATATCGGACTATCTAAAACTAAAACTGCTAATCTGAGGGATCTAGTTCCCGAGTACATATCACTTAATCTTTCACTTTAAGTATTAGTTCTTTTTATGGTGACGTTTGACTAAACATCATTAAATCTGGAAACGAAAGTACTAACAAATCTTGACTATGCCAGATAATAAACATAACTTAATTTAGCAATAAAATAACTCATCACATAATTCACGTAGTTCACATAATAGCAAATAGTCTAAAATTATCTATTAAAAATCAACCAGACTTCTTGCATTTGGTTGAACAAACATGTACAGGTGGTAGTGAACTTACCTGTAGAGGCTGAACTGCAAATACTCAAATAAATGTGACTCCCAGATAACGTCTTCCGATAAGCTCTTCTTTTAATCTTTATTTAAATGAAATAATCTAATAAAAACCTCACTTTTCAAATAAAGCAAATCCTCATGAAAAATATGACTGCTGCATACTAACTTCAGGTGGAAAAAGAAAATGGCTACCTATCTCAATCATGTACGATGGTGTTCATGAGTTTCCAGATTGGATATAAAATGACATTTTACAATTTAAAGATCTGGAAGCACACCTAGTTAGGCTAAATCTGCAAAATCTAGCTATAAGTTTATTCTACCGCAAAATTTTACTTGAATTTATGAAACTTTCCCAACTGATCTGTTTTAAGAAATAGATCTGTTTTCAAAACTGTACATAAACTTCTTTTTAAACTGAAAAGAGTTGAACAGCCAAATTGATCCACGATTAAATTAAAAGCAATGGAGGAACTCAAAATAATCCCTAAACTCATAAACTTATACGAACTCAAAATACTATCAATAAAACCCCTTATAACAATACCCCATTAACACGTGAATACTCAAGTGAAGCCAAAACTGGTGTAGCAACAAAACTCACCCAACTTAAAAGAATTAAATTGCTAGCAGCCCATATAGGAGGTGAAAATAAGTGATAGCAGCAGTCGAACTTTTGAATTATACGCAAAAGATTAACCCCAAAACTAGTAGGATTTCAAAATCTAAATGATGATCTCACGGTAGAAAATAAAGCACATAAACGACTAAACGAGAAGCTTACCCGGCAAGATGGTGATGTGTAACTCGAATAGAAGCTCTTGATTGAATTTAGGAAGAAGTACTTTGAGACTTGAGAGGAAGAGAAAAGAGGACTGCTACAAGAAGGAATGTTGACGTATGTGGGAAAATTTAGGGCTGATAAATATATTGCTAACCTACATACGTATACTCCTTAAGGGTTTTTAAAATAATAATAAAGAATACTTAGTCGGCCCAATTAACTGATCTGGGTCTCTAATTCTCTCTAAAAAAATATCAACATTAAAAGTATTTTCTATTTCAAAATAAACTGATTAAGTTTTAAAGCATTACTTATTTCTCCACTTAAAATTATTAGAGCTTACCGGTCAACGTTACCTGCCAGAAAAACACATGAACAAACAATAAATCACATTATTCATACAATAATCTTATTTAACTGACTAAATAAAATAAAAGATTAAAGTAACTAGATCGCTAAAATCGGGGTGTTACAACCCCTCCCACCTTATAAAAGTTTCGTCCTCGAAACTTAGAACAACTCAGGATAACGCCGCCTCATGTCATCTTCAACCTCCCAAGTAGCTTCTTCAACTTTGTCATTTCGCCACAACACTTTTACTAGAGCTATCTCTTTATTCCGGAGACGTCTAACCTCTCGGTCAAGAATTTGTACTGGCTTCTCCTCGAAAGACAAATCATTTTGCACTTCTATTGTTGGGGGTATCAAAACATGCTCCGGCTCAGCAAAGTATTTCCTCAACATCGAAACATGGAAGACATTATGAATGCCAGAAAACTCTTCAGGTAGCGCGAGCTCATAAGCTACTTTCCCTACTCGTCTAGTGATCTCATATGGTCCGGTGAATCTTGGGCTAAGCTTTCCTTTCCTTCCAAACCGCATCACACCCTTCATCGGGGCTATCTTAACGAAAACAAAATCCCCCACTTCAAACTCTAGAGGCCTTCTTCGAACATCTGCATAACTTTTCTGTCTACACTGGGCAGATTCTATCCTTTGCCGAATGCTCTTAATAGCTTCTGAGGTCTCATCTATCAACTCAGTCCTCCCTTGCAGTTCCTCTTCTAGGATCTTCTTCTCACCTGTTTCATACCATGATATGGGAGATCTACACCTTCTCCCATACAACGCCTCATACGGAGCCATGCCAATGGTTGCTTGATAACTATTATTATAAGCAAACTCCGCCAAACTTAGGTATTTCACCCATCCTCCTTGAAAATCTAGTGCACATGCCCGTAGCATATCCTCTAAAATCTGGTTTGTCCTCTCTGTCTGACCATCGGTCTGAGGATGAAAAGCGGTACTAAACTTCAACTTCGTGCCCAATGACTGTTGTACGCACTTCCAAAAGTGAGAGGTAAATCTGGAATCTCTGTCAGAAATAATACTCTTCGGGACACCATGCAGTCTCACAATCTCCTGAATATATAACTTTGCCAACTTCTCCAAAGATATACTTGCTGAAATTGGGATAAAATGAGCAGATTTAGTCAATCTGTCCACTATAACCCATATAGCGTCATAACCTCCCGTTGTCTTCGGCAAACCCATAATAAAGTCCATGGATATCTCATCCCATTTCCACTCTGGAATCTGGATAGGCTGAAGTTCTCCACCTGGTCTTTGATGTTCAGCCTTTACTTGCTGACACGTCAAACATGACTGGACGAACTTCGCAACATCTTTCTTCATTCCTGACCACCAAAAGTTTTTCTTCAAGTCATGGTACATCTTGGTCGCACCAGGATGCATAGTGAATGGTGTGTCATGAGCCTCCTTCATAATCTGCTTCCTCAACCCCTCGACATCAGGAATGCACAACCTGTTTCGAAGTAATAATCTCCCACTCTCATCCAAACGGAATTCGGGACATTGTCCCTCCTTGACGCACTCCTTCAACTTAACCAACTCGGGATCAAGTTCTTGCTTCATAGCTATGTCCTCAAATATTGCTGGAGTCACTGTCATAGCCGCTAGTCGCCCACTTACAACCTCTAATTCAAAATCTTCAATTTCCTTCTTCAACTTTGGATCTATTACCATCATAGCCATTAGTGTTGCAGAAGACTTCCTACTAAGTGCATCTGCTACCTTGTTGGCCTTCCCTGGATGATAAAGGATCTCACAATCGTAGTCTTTGATTAATTCAAGCCACCTTCTTTGCCTCATGTTGAGGTCCTTCTGCGTGAATATATATTTCAGACTTTTATGATCGGTGAAGATCTTGCACTGGACCCCATACAAGTAATGTCTCCAAATCTTCAAGGCATGAATCACTGCTGCTAACTCCAAGTCATGGGTGGGATAATTCGTCTCATACTCCTTGAGTTGCCGAGATGCGTACGCAATGACTCGTTCATTCTGCATAAGAACTGCTCCAAGTCCCATCTTCGATGCGTCTGTGTAGATAACAAACCCTTCCTTGCCTTCTGGGAGTGTTAAAACAGGTGCAGAGGTCAACCTATTTTTCAGCTCTTGGAAACTCTTCTCACAACGATCAGTCCACTCAAATTTCTTACCCTTACGAGTCAAGGTAGTCAATGGAAGAGCTATAGCAGAGAAGCCTTCCACAAACTTCCTATAATACCCCGCAAGGCCTAAGAAACTTCGAACTTCTTTCGCATTCTTTGGCCTGTTCCAATCTTGAACAGCCGCCACCTTTGAGGGATCCACCGAAACTCCCTGCTTTGAAACTACGTGGCCAAGGAATGCTACATGGTCAAGCCAGAACTCACACTTTGAAAACTTAGCATATAGCTTATGTTTTCTCAGTGTCTCCAGTACTTCTCTCAAGTGTTCTTCATGCTCCTCCTTTGACTTTGAGTAGATCAAAATATCATCAATGAAAACAATGACAAACTTGTCAAGAAACTCCCTGAACACTCTATTCATAAGATCCATAAACGCCGCTGGAGCATTAGTTAGGCCGAAAGGCATAACCACAAATTCATAGTGTCCATACCGCGACCTGAAAGCTGTTTTTGGGATGTCTCCTTCTTTGATTCTTAGCTGATGATACCCTGAACGAAGGTCAATCTTGGAGAAAATCACTGCTCCCTTCAACTGGTCAAACAGGTCATCAATTCTAGGCAGGGGGTACCTATTCTTGATAGTCACTTTATTGAGCTCTCTGTAATCTATGCACAATCTCATTGTGCCATCCTTCTTCTTCACGAATAATACCGGAGCTCCCCACGGTGAGTAACTGGGCCGAATGAAACCTTTCTCTAGCAACTCCTGCAACTGCTTATGGAGTTCTTGTAACTCTGCTGGGGCCATTCGATACGGTGCTCTGGAAATCGGTGCGGTGCCGGGCAGCAACTCAATCTCGAACTCAATCTCTCTACTGGGTGGTAATCCTGAAAGATCTTCGGGGAATACATCACTGTAACCTTCCACAACGGGAACTTCAGAAAGCTGCATAGGTTCCCCTGAGTTTTTGTCTACTACGTGAGCTAAGAAAGCTGCACATCCACCTCGAATCAGTCTCCCTGCTTGCAATGCTGAAATCATCACCTTCCCTGATCTTTTTGGTTCCCCAAGAAATAAGAAAGGATCAGACCCTGCAGGCACAAAACTAACAATTCTCTTTCGGCATATAATTGAAGCGTTATACTTCTGCAGAAAATCCATGCCGAGAATCACATCATAATCCTTCATGTTGAGCACAATCAGATCTACAAATAACTCTCTTCCCGCAATACTCATTGGCACTCCTCGTAGCCAATGAGTTGACAACATGATCTCTCCCGACGGAAGTGCTGTGGTGAACTTATAATCTAACTTATCTTGACGTGTTGCTAAGGGTCTAGCAAACTCAAGAGATACAAAGGAATGTGTGGCTCCTGTGTCAAATAACACATTAGCATATCTGTTTAGAACAAGTATCTGACCTGTGACAACTCCGGGATTTATAGATGCCTCTTCCTTGGAGATGGTGAACACTCTAGCAACCGGGGCCTCTGGTGGTGCCTCAAGGCGTCCCTGCTGGATGGATGGTCCTTCTAGATAAGCCTGCATATTATGGACGACCGCTGGAGGTGCTGGATTCCTTGGTATCTGAGTGATCTGGTAGCTTTGCTGATTCTTCCTTGGACAATCTCTAGACATATGGCCCTCAAGACCGCAAGTGTAACAAGCGCTGGAACCCAATCTGCACTGGCCTAGATGATTACGACCACAATTAGCACACTGTGGAAACATAATCTTTTTATTTTGTTGCTCCTGATGATGTCCAGCTCTCTTGCCATTACTATTACTGCTCTTAAAGCTCCTCTTCTTGTGATTCTTCGAGCTACTCGTGTATCCCGGTGGCTGATTCTGTGACTGCAGTGGCACAGATTGCGGCTGAGCGGGCACTGGATCGCTAGGAAGGTAGTACTCCTTTTGACTTGCTCTAAGGACACAGTCGACTAATGTAACTGGGGTATGGTTACCGTCCTCCAAGTGAACCGCTATATCCTTCCTAAGTGCTTTCAGGAACAACTTCACCTTATCTCTCTCTGTCGGAGCAGCTGTAGGGCAAATACGTAGTAGTCTCTGAAATTGTGCTGCCAAGGTTGCTACATCCATGGTTCCCTGACGTAGATTCTCAAGCTCATCCTGGTACTTCCGTGTGACACTAGCGTTGAAATATTGGTTGGTGAACTCCTCTTTGAACTGCTCCCATGTCATCTGCGCAATATCATACCTTGTTTCAACAGTCTCCCACCATATCCGAGCATCCATGGTGAGGCTATATGATGCGCATCGAACCTTGTCATTATCTGCCAGTTCTAAACCATTAACAATGCCTTCAATGGTCTTCAACCATCCTTGAGCAGCTAGAGGGTCAGGACCCCCCTCAAAATCTGCGGGCTTGATCTTCCTCCAAGTGATCATTAGGGGTTCTCGCCTCGGTGCTCCGTTTCCCACGCCTTGATTATTACCAGCATTTCCTCCTTGAGCTCCGCCCCTTTGATTGTTCGCGGTCAAACGGTCGATGATCTGTTGCTGCTCCTGCAACTGCCTCTGAAGTTGCGCCACAATACCTACCAAATCTTGCTCGTGAATGTTTCCTTGCTCATTACTGTTCCCTTGTGCATTGGTACCACGGGTTCTCCTCATTTTCTTAAGGCACCTAAATATAAACTTTTTATTTATATGCCATACACATTACTAAAAAGGAAAGACATTCATATCTTTGTTCTCTATCTAATAAACTCCTCTTGCTCATGTACAGAAATATAAAAACTAGCTTTAAATACTTACTTGGAAGATGATGAGCACGTGTACGGTGACAAGTGAAGTTACGGGACAACATGGGCTCTGATACCAAATTTGTAACGCCCCTCTCAGGGTTAAAGGAAACGCTACACTAGCATACTACTTTTAAAAATAAACTGCAATATAACGGCCGTTTGTTTAAGAAATAACCCTGATAAAATCTCAAATGTAGCTAAAATTTAACTCCAAATAAAAACTCAATAAAGTCTAGTTATCACTAGCAAATGTGATAACCACCTGGATCCAGGAATTTATTCAAACTTCAAACCATAAATAAAAATAATAATAATAATAATAATAAACTCCTTAGAACAATATCTAAAATAATGAGACATAATAATAGCTAGCTGGAAGCCGCCAAGGTCGTCCCCGTCAACTCATCTTGGCACGCGTTCCACTCTTTCATCACCTTCCTAGGCCTTGGCCTTACCTTTAGTATCTGTACATGCGAAGAAAGAAACTGATAAGCTTTACGCTTAGTAAGTCACTATGGATCCACAAAAATATCTAGAAGTCTATGCCAATTTATCAATAGATAAAATTTAGGCTATAAGCATGCACTGAACAAACAACTAACACATAACTTCTCTATTACATTCTGAGAGAGATCTCAAAGGAAAAATATTTCCTAAAATATTTTTCTTAAAACTGCTAGAGATCTCAATTTTTTTTTTTTTTTTTTTTTTTTTGAAAACATCTCTGTAAAACTCTCTGAAAGAGATCTCAAAAACTTTCTGTAAATCTTTCTGAAAGAGATCTCATAAACTTTCTATAAACTCTTTGTGGCTAATTTTAACTGTGGGCCCGTGATATGTACTCAATGGCGCCAATCCGACAGCTCAGGGGAGCGACCCACTAAACATATCGGACTATCTAAAACTAAAACTGCTAATCTGAGGGATCTAGTTCCCGAGTACATATCACTTAATCTTTCACTTTAAGTATTAGTTCTTTTTATGGTGACGTTTGACTAAACATCATTAAATCTGGAAACGAAAGTACTAACAAATCTTGACTATGCCAGATAATAAACATAACTTAATTTAGCAATAAAATAACTCATCACATAATTCACGTAGTTCACATAATAGCAAATAGTCTAAAATTATCTATTAAAAATCAACCAGACTTCTTGCATTTGGTTGAACAAACATGTACAGGTGGTAGTGAACTTACCTGTAGAGGCTGAACTGCAAATACTCAAATAAATGTGACTCCCAGATAACGTCTTCCGATAAGCTCTTCTTTTAATCTTTATTTAAATGAAATAATCTAATAAAAACCTCACTTTTCAAATAAAGCAAATCCTCATGAAAAATATGACTGCTGCATACTAACTTCAGGTGGAAAAAGAAAATGGCTACCTATCTCAATCATGTACGATGGTGTTCATGAGTTTCCAGATTGGATATAAAATGACATTTTACAATTTAAAGATCTGGAAGCACACCTAGTTAGGCTAAATCTGCAAAATCTAGCTATAAGTTTATTCTACCGCAAAATTTTACTTGAATTTATGAAACTTTCCCAACTGATCTGTTTTAAGAAATAGATCTGTTTTCAAAACTGTACATAAACTTCTTTTTAAACTGAAAAGAGTTGAACAGCCAAATTGATCCACGATTAAATTAAAAGCAATGGAGGAACTCAAAATAATCCCTAAACTCATAAACTTATACGAACTCAAAATACTATCAATAAAACCCCTTATAACAATACCCCATTAACACGTGAATACTCAAGTGAAGCCAAAACTGGTGTAGCAACAAAACTCACCCAACTTAAAAGAATTAAATTGCTAGCAGCCCATATAGGAGGTGAAAATAAGTGATAGCAGCAGTCGAACTTTTGAATTATACGCAAAAGATTAACCCCAAAACTAGTAGGATTTCAAAATCTAAATGATGATCTCACGGTAGAAAATAAAGCACATAAACGACTAAACGAGAAGCTTACCCGGCAAGATGGTGATGTGTAACTCGAATAGAAGCTCTTGATTGAATTTAGGAAGAAGTACTTTGAGACTTGAGAGGAAGAGAAAAGAGGACTGCTACAAGAAGGAATGTTGACGTATGTGGGAAAATTTAGGGCTGATAAATATATTGCTAACCTACATACGTATACTCCTTAAGGGTTTTTAAAATAATAATAAAGAATACTTAGTCGGCCCAATTAACTGATCTGGGTCTCTAATTCTCTCTAAAAAAATATCAACATTAAAAGTATTTTCTATTTCAAAATAAACTGATTAAGTTTTAAAGCATTACTTATTTCTCCACTTAAAATTATTAGAGCTTACCGGTCAACGTTACCTGCCAGAAAAACACATGAACAAACAATAAATCACATTATTCATACAATAATCTTATTTAACTGACTAAATAAAATAAAAGATTAAAGTAACTAGATCGCTAAAATCGGGGTGTTACAGGTAGGGTTCTTCTTCGGGTAGGAATTCGCAGAGATGGGAGGATCAGGTGTCGGGTGGAAGAGCACAAGGGGAAAAGGAGGATACGGTGGACTTGGGTAGTGGCTCTAATAAGGAAGTGGTTCTGAAACATAATGAAGAAGCTTCTGGAGAGCAGAAACGCAGGCGCATTTGTGAAATAGGAACAACTCAAAACCAGGGAGGGAACGAGATGGCTCTGGATGAAACAAAAAACGGAGGGGCGACGGGCTTAGAGGGGTAAGCTTGTAAAGGGCAAGAAAGAGGCAAGAGGGGTCCGATTGGTGTTGCATTGTTCTGATTGGAGGATCCGGTCATTTTATCTTTTATTGCTTTTTTCTTTTCGTTTCACACTGTTCTTTATTTTCTTGTTGGTTTTTTTGCTTTGATTCTGGTTGTAAAACGATGATTCTGGATTTGGATGTGGGTGATAATCTAACTGTGATTACCGTCACTAGCTCAGTTGTGCCCTCTTTTGGATCATCGAGTTATATTAATGAGGTGATTAACTCTGACTCTAATTCGCGAGACGGCGGTTCTCTCAAGTTACATTGTCTTTTTACCTACTCTCCAAATAGTTTAATTTTAATGTAAGCCGCTTTCATCCAAAAAAAAGAAAATTTCAAAATGAAGTGTTATATATTTATTTAGTAAATATGAGTAATCATTTATTAACTCAAATTAGGTACAAATGATGCATTATTAATGTTAAACACGTAACTAAGAAAGTGGTCTGGATACCCTCGCTTCTTAGGGTTTTGATTTTTTCATTCGTCTGTCGAAGGTTGATGCTTGCTTACAGTCTTCACAATTAATTTCGTTTGGGCGGCAGGACAAGTCTTTGCGAGGGAGAAGTTGATTTTCTTGTTCCCGGAGTGTGCTTGGCGATTATAATACGATAGCACAAAGTAAAAACCAGATTATTATACATTTTGGCATTTGACGAGGTGCTTTCTATGCTGAATGTGAAGGCTTGACCGATATTGTGAATTTGTGATGAAAAAGAAGCATAGTGAGGAAAAAGATGTACTATTGTCGGCTCGTCCCCTTCCTGAACCGCCTCTGTGAAGGGATTGTGTGACTAGGTTTGGAAGACGTTGCCTCAAGTTTGGATTGGGCGACACACAATTTATTGCTCTATATTTCTTTCCAGCTTTTTTTTTTCGTTATATTTCTTTCCAGCTTGATTAATATTTCCTTAGACTTTTTACTTTGTTTTTTGTTTGTTTGTGTTAGTGGTTTTCTTGAGGTGCTAATGAGTGAAGACCCCAAATTTGAGGTAGTCACCCCAAGGTTTTAAATAGCCGTAGCGGCAGCGGTAGCGGTAGTGGTCATCGCGGTAGCGGCCTGTAGCGGCCTGTAGCCGACTGTAGCGGTTGCAGCGGTGTGAAATATTTTCAATTGCGCAAAACATAAATGTATTTTTTTCACATCATTCACACAACATTTAATTTTGAGTTTCACTCCATGCATCACCATTAATGTATTTTTCACATCATTCACACAACATTTACACATTTACACATCAAACAGTTCGTGATGTACTGCCGGAAATGTCAATAGCGGGCGGCGTAGCGGATTTTTCCTGTGATTTGGAAATCACACACGAATAGCGGGCCGTAGCGCTAGCGGCCTCTACCGCGACCGCTATATAGCGGCCGCTATAGCGGTAGCGGGCCGCTATTTCAAACCATGATTCACCCCATATATGTTGTAGTGGCTTATACCTTATAATAGGACTAAAACACAGTAGTTTTTTTCCTCTTTTCAAAATAGGGCCAATTCGTTTTTTAATCATAAAAGAGCGGGTGTTATATTAAAATCAAGAACACATACAAGACAATCCTCAGGCAGAAATTACAGATTCAATCGTGAACCCTAGGACTAGATTTAGAGTCAGCCTCCCTCATACAAAGCAACATGACTCGCTAAATCTGAAACGGGCAAATTTAGGCCTAAAACGAATGGAATCGAAACTCTGCCTATCAAAAGAACTCCAAAAATCCAAACATTCAAACCAAATATACTCGGACTGAAACGAAAACAATTGCAAGTAAAGAGAAAATAACACTGAAATAAAAATTTTTCACAAAGCTTTCCCTGGTATGGAGGTGGTTCCGGAGGAGGACGAACTCTTGCAATATGGGTGAATAGCAACTCCACCACCGCTGGAATGGCCGACCCAGACTTCACGATCCAGCCTCGATACAACCTCTCAGCCGCAATTCATTCATCCGTCAACTCTATTTCCTTTGACGTAGTTGCAATCCCAAGCGTTAGAACACTTAAAATCAGTATAAACTGCCGCTCCAACCCCATATTGATAGGGCGGCGGAAAATCTTAACCCCTACAAAGAGGGGAGACGACCACTAGGGTTTCTCTCTAGAGTGAAGAAGAGAGCGCCAAACTTTTTTTTTTTTTTTCAAAACCGAAATTTTATTAAAAAAAAAGTACAAAGAGAGGGGGACCAAACCAAAACCTCCCAATGAAAATAGATGGATGATAACAAAAATTAATGAGTGAATCTAAGAGAGTGCCAAACATGTCTATTAATTAATAACTTGTGCATGTATGTATAAATAGGACCAATTAGTTAAACATTCGTTGAATTCCCACACCGAAAACTGGTGAAGGAATTAAATGCTATATTAAAATTTGGATTACTCCTCCTATCACGTTGACCTTTTGGGATGGAATCCTGGATCTTAGTTAACATGGTATTAGAGCCAAATCGATCCATGGTGTGGCCCTCTTATGAAAAATGATGACATGATTATAAAAACAAATGAAAACAATGAATCGATGAAAAAATGAATGACCGCACGATCCAGACGAAATGTCTCGTCATGAGGAGGGTGTTGAATTCCCACACCGGAAACTTGTGAAGAAATTAAGTGCTATATTAAGATCTTGATTACTCCTCCTATCATGTTGACCTTTTAGGATTGAACCCCAAAGCTTAACATTATTAAATACGATTTTTTATTTGTGATTGGACCAAAATACTGCCCCAGGGTTGTTGGACTGTCTCCGCAGCCAGAAAATTTTCCAAAAATTTTTCTGATGATCTGTTAGCATTTTCGCCGCCGCTACCAATGCCGGATACTTTTGCCACCACCACAGACCCCCCCCCCCCCCCACCAACGGACTGCACTGGTTGTGCAAGAGAACTAGGGGCAATTATTTTGGTTAATTAATTAATCAATTGAATTAGGAGTAAAAATGGAATGATTAGTCCTGTTTAGGGAAAAACAAATAGAAATTGCTTTTAATAGGACTAAAATTTAGACAAAATGCTCAAATATGACTACAAGTATTTTATTCCCAAAATAGGACTTATTTGATCGTATTAAAAGTATAAAAATTTTCATATTAGGAGTGAATAAGTCGTATTTTAGGAAGAAAACAATGATAATCCTATATGTGCACCTTTTTATGTTTTAGTCCTATATAAAATATTTTCTCAAAATTAAACATTAGATCCTATTTTTGGAAAAAGCCTATATTTTAATTCTAGCAATATCAATTTTCTCTATGTTGTAATCCTACCCAAAAAATGTATTCCAAGGTGTTAAAGTGGGTTGGGACTTGAACATCTTTGAAAGGGGAATTACGTGCCTTGTTTCACCCGGTAGAGACTAGAGAGTAGCGAATGAAGCAGATTGTTCCGTGGATGGCAGTGGTGCGAAAGGAGTAGGGATGTCAAAAAAAACCGACCCGCAATGACCCGCCCTGGCCCGAGACATTTGGGGCGGGTCCGGCCCGCCCCGTCTTGCAAATGGGGTGGGTCCGCCCCGCCCCGCCTATACAATGGGGCGGGTCTGGGTTTTAGTATTGACCCGTGCTGCCCCGTCCCGCCCTGACCCGCCCTGCTCATAAAATATACTTCAACATTCATATGTGTGTATACAATAAATATTAATTTTTTGATCTTATAATATATTAATATATATATATTAGAATGAGATGAACGACGATTATCAATGTATGCGTTATATATAGCATTTTAATACATATATTCAATTATTAATATAATTAAATAGATTATCTATTCAAGTCTGAGTAATTTTTCCTCAATTTTTGAAATTTTTAGCGTATCATGAATTTGATTTAATATATTAATTTTTAATTATTATTCAGAGATAAACTTTATGTAGATTCAATTGGTAACAACTTCCCACAAATAGAAATACATAATAGGTAATTAGGTTACGGCGGGGCAGGTCACGGGTCAACAAGTTTGGACCCGTGCAGGTCACGGGGCAGGGCGGACCCGCCCCGCCAAGTCATGGGGCGGGTCCGGGTCTTGCAGTACCCGCCCCGCCCCGACCCATTGCCATGCCTAAGCAGGAGCAACAGTTTTATTTTATTATCTTTTTACCTTTTAATTTCTTTGATCATACTGTTTGCTTTCCCTTTTGGTGTGTTTTTTGCTGTAAGACTGTGAGTTTAGATTTGGGTGATGAGATGTCTGCTTTAACCGTCTTTGGCTCAGTTGCGCCCCGTCAAGGATCGACGAGTTATATTGTTTCTCTGGAGGTGATTAACACTAAGTCTGGTTTGAGGGTCGGCGGTTGTCAGTGGTCTTTTTGTCGATATACCCCATATCTGAATGTTGTGATATCAATTTAAGCCCACTTCTTCCAAAAAAGAACGTTGCATTATGTAGTGTAACTTTTTTTATTTATATTCCATTTTAAAAATATATATAAAAAATTTCATAAATTTTAGAAAGGTTTTAAGTGCTAAAATTAATACATAATCGTTAAAATATTATTTTTATGTTGGAGTATTTGACATTTAAAGTCATAATTACTCACACGAAAAAAAGAATTTGTCGAAAAAAGAAGTATAACTCTTGTCACTTTAAATATCAAGTCCAAACTTAATTTGTTCAACACCTAATAGAATGAAAGATTTTTTCTTTTAAATTTTGTTTGTAAATAAAACATGAAAATCGTTTCAATAAAAGTTGGGTCATCATAGTAGAATAAGACGTCTAGTTCAAGTTCTTCACAATGT